AGCCCTGGGCCCAGAGGGGTGTGGCAGAGGGGGTGGGGCGGGAGGACCCTGCCTCGGGGGCTCTGCACCTCTCATCCCCCGATCCCGGGGAATGAGGGCCACAGGGAAGGAAGACGTTGTCCTGACGTCTCTGGAACCCCTGACGGGGACCCTGAATGGGACAGCTGGTGGAGGATGGTCTGCTGCAGGCCAGAGCTCACCCTTCCCCTGGCTCAGGTCCAGGATGATCCGCATGGGCACGGGCAGGGTCTCGAGGGCTCTGTCGAATTTCTCCATGACCTCGTTGTCGACCTTCAGGGTCCTGGCTGTGGAGGGCGGCGGGTCAGTCCCTGGGCCGCGGGTCTTTGACGACCTCGGGGAGCTGCGGGGGCCCCGGCCAGGGAGTGACTGCAGGAAGGACATCCTGGGAAGCGTCCTGCGGTCAGCTTCCAGGGTGGCATCCGGGGCTTAGCCCACCCGCCTGCAGGGTCCCTGTCCCCTCCCCTTCCTCCTGGGGCGGCACTGGGAACAGAGGGCTCCAGGCCCCGGGCTGCCAGGGCTCCCGCACCAGCAGCTACGGACTTACAGACCCGGGAACCTCTGCTGCCCCAGCGCCGTGGGCCCCTCGGGGACCGGGGAGACACCCAAGGACAGCAGCAAGGCTGGTACTGAGCTTCCGTGGGTGAGTCCGAGTGTCGCCCTCCAGAGTTGCGTTCATGTCGGAACAGTTCTGAGACCACTAAAAATCTCCTTCCAGACTGGTTTCGGATTCTTACTGACCCGTTCTACCACTGTCCTGTGCAGCCCCTCCGCTCGTGAACACACCCTCAGTCACCCGCTCGGCCTGTCGCTCGTCCCTGAGTCCCCCACACCGGTGCTGACGGGAGCCCTGGGGGCTGGGGCGGCCCCTCCCCCTCTCGCACCCCCCTCCCCAGCCCCTGCGGGGCTCCGATACGCACCCAGGTACTGGCACATGACGCCGTTCCCAGCGTGGGGCGTGGGCGCCTCCATGCAGAAGAACAGGTAGTGGGTGCTGTCTGTGTCCAGCACGGAAATCCTTCTTTCCCCTTGGTCTGGAACAGAGGCCGGAACAGAGGCCCGAAATCTGTCTGTGTGCCCCTGGGACCTCCCGCTCTGGCACGGCCACTTCCCCAAAGCCGAGGGCCCGCCCCCTCCTTCCCAGGCCTCGCCTTCCCCTGCCGTTCATTTCCACAGCTGCTTCAGAGAGCCCCACAGACTCGGGAGAGGGCAGGTGGGCTGTGGTGGCAGGGGAGGGCTGGCAGCCATGGGGAGGGCCCGGGGTCTGTCCCAGAGGAGGCCGAGGGTGGGGCGGGGGGCTGCTGGACCCAGGGGACCCAGGTGTGGTATGGAAAGGTGGGACTGAGGCTGTTGAGGTCCAGAACGTTCCTGAAGGAGGTTCCAGGACTGAGAGGCAAATGCACAGTGTGTTTAGCCAGAGGTCTGGCTTAGGGGGACACGTCCAAGGAGCCATAGGCTCCCGGTCCCTGAGCAGGGAGGTCCCCTCACACCCGCCCTCAGACGTGTCCCCACACAGACCCCCACCTGCATGGCCGTACAGATGTCACAACGAGCCAGATGCGGCTCTGCTGTCTTCCCACGCCCAGCAGGGAGCGCAGGGGCCAGGAGGAGGCTGAGCCCCGGACGGAGTGGGGTCCCCAGGCCTCATTCCCCCCGGGAGTGCCCTTCGTGGCCTTCGTGGCGTAGGCGCAGGAGAAGCAGGTCCTGACTCCTTCCTGCTGCTGGGATGTGGGGCTTCCGAGTGAACCCCCAGTGCCCAGCGTGGGAGGGGGCACTGCTTGTCCAGAGCTGCCTGAGGGGAGATGCCTGGGGGCCTGGGGGGGCCCTCAGGTGCAGAGTCGGTGCACTTACCGTCGACCATGAACACGGCGGGGTCCTCAGTCTTCTGCGCCATGATGTTCCTCTCAACACAGGCGCTGTTTTCCCTGAAAAGCCAAAGAGTGTGGGGGGTCATCCGTGAACCCCAGTGTGGGGACAGGAGTGGCTCCAGGAAGCATCCACAAGCCCTGCGCAAGCCCAGCCTCATCTGGCCCCGGGCCGGCTGAGGGCAGTGTCACGAGCGTGTGGCCAAATGTGAGCAGCACCGTGGCCCTGATCAGGTGACTTGGCCAAGTCGGCAATGGGGCAGACCAAGCTGGCCGGGACACCTGCTGGTGGCCGAGAGCCCGTGTCAGAAAACTGACCCTGTCTGGGAGGGGCTGGGTTACAGCACTTCCAGGGACCTCGTCATGGGGACACTCAGAGTTCCTCGAGTGCCGGCCCCCGCTCTGCCCGTGGACCTGGGGTCGCCGTGTGTAGTCGGCCTGCTGGCCCAGAGCCCGGGGGGGTCCCCAGGGCACCGGGAACCACCCAGACGGAGCCGGCTCCCATCAGGACCCTGCCCTCCCATCCCGCTCCACGCCTCCCTGCCCGACCCCTGCCCCACCCGGAGCCAGGCCCTCACTGCCCCCAACCCAGGGCGGGGTCACACCCACCGTTTGCGCAGAATGATTTCCAGGTTGTTCTCAGGGGTGGGTCTCAGCTCCTGGACGTACATTCTCACGGGGGAGGCCTCGGAGTCCAGGAGGGAGATGTCGCTGGCCGCCATGGCCATGGAGTGCCACATCCCAGCCACCTAGGGACGGGGCCTTGAGTGCCATGGGGGGTGGGAAGGGGCACGGCCCCCCCAGGGCTCTCCGTCCCACCCCTGCCTACTGGGTGGTCTCCTGCACGCATTTCCCAGGCAGCCCTGCAAGTGCGCTAGGACGTGCCACATCTGAGGGTCCCTGCCCCATGCCGAAGCCCACGTGGGTCTCTCGCATGTTCGTAATGCCCACCGTCTCCACCCCGGCTCTGTCCCGAGTAAGCTCCCACTCAGGGCGTGGCCCCGTCTTACATGACTCCACTCCGGGGGCGAGAGGGGGACAGGGAGGTGGCTGGAGCCAGCATTTGGGCGGACAGAGACGTGCCTGAGCTCTATGCCTCAGTGTCTGCCCTTAGATGTCTGCAGCCGGGCCCTCCTGCCCTCCTGCCCTCCGTCAGTCACCCCGGCCCCGGCCCTGGCCCCCAGCACACACCCCACATGCCCCTACCTTTCTTATATCCAGGTTCCTCATGGTCTGGGGGATGACGATGGCCTGGAGGCCACACACAAGGGCCAGGCCC